TTTTTTGATTTTTACGCATAATCTCCGTGTGGTGCGCAAAAAATTTCGAGTTTTACGGTAAAAACTTCGTTTTTTTGTTTATAGTATTGGCCCTTGAGCTTAATGCCCCTCTGACTCACCCTAAGACCCTGCGAGTGGATCAAATAGTTGTATATAATATGTTTGTTTGTTTGACCTATTGGATTGATTCTTTGAGAAACATATATAGAAATAACTTCTGATAACAATTTGGGCTTTCTAGTTAGAACATAAGCTAATTTATCACTTTTTAAAAGTTAGCTATCTTTTCTCATCAACAGAGGGTATTACCGCCAAAGCTAAAGTTTTGCGAACACTAGTGTACTTAAAATCTTTACATCCATACTCATCAGAATATTTCACTCTTTTTCTTTCACTTTAATGTGTTTCTAGCTCTGGCTATAATGCAATTGATAAGGTAATCTTTAGAGAGCCTTGCCCTCCATCTACTCCAATCTATGTAGTAAAACTGTTCAAATAAACTCATCAACATTTTTGCTTACTACACCAAATAGTATAATAGGAATAGTTCTTTCAATACACTAAATAATAACAAAACAACTTTAAGTCCGATGATAAAGATTTATTTAAAGCTATCAACTTTCAAAACAATCAAAATATAAAATTATTACCGTAGTAGCAAACAATGTTGGCGTAATATTATTTTTAGCATGTAAAGTGTGTACACAATATCGCGCCAATATTGTTTCCTGCTCAGAAATGTAGCATAAAATAATAATTTTGTTAACAATATAATTTTTATAGATCTTTTTAGTGAAGTTAGTTAAAGTAAAACAATATATGTAAATATATATATATATATATATATATATATATATATATATATATATATATATATATATATATATATATATATATATATATATATATATATATATATATATATATATATATATATATATATATATATATATATATGTATATCACTTTTACCATATATTAAGTAATACCACTTTTTTATTATCACTGGTATCTTGTTTAGACTGAATCTCAGCATCAAACAAAGACAATAGACTTTTTGTTTTATTTTGTTAACTTTTTATAAAAAAAAAAAATTGACAGATTTTTTTTTTTTCCTTTTACTTATATAAGTCGGGTAATTTCTAACATTTTATAATCACTAGTAAATTTGATACAAATGTTTAAAAAAAATAATTGTTTTTTTAAAATAGTTTATATATTTTGAAATTTGTAGTAGGCAATCTATAGCCAATATAAAATTTCCTCTTTAGTAGTTTCAGTTTTGAGTGTGAAAAGTAAGTTTTTCTTGGTCAACTACTCCAATAAAAACAACAAGCCTCCGTGGGCCAAAATTGTTCAACGCTATTTTTGCGTCATGGGTTTCTAAATTGTAAATCGTAGTTAAAAAAATTTTTCTTTTTGTTATAGGTGAGGTGGATTGTACAATGCGTCAACTTCCTTTGCTTAGCTAACATTGTGCAAGGATGTTTTCTTCTTTGCAGAAGAAAAAGATTTCTTCAAAATCTTTTTCTTCTGCAAAGAAAAAGATTTTGATTGCTTGTGGAAAGATTCAAATCAGTGATTATGAACTATATTTGTACTAGTTTCACATGATATCATTAGTGGAAGATTTACTATTTCAGTACTATTTTTACGCTCATTAACACAAATAAAACACTCACATTTCCACCTAGAACAATTTTAGGATAAAGATCTAAAAGTAATTAGAAGTAAATTTTTTAGTGTAAATTCAATTTTGTTTATAAGCACAACAAAAATAATGCAAAACATAATTCGTTTTTATTGGCTTATTTTTTATTAGCCTATTTTTTATAGGCTTACTTTTTTTATCAAACTTACTTTTGTACCTAGGTCGAGCGTTGAATAAAAATTGTTTTTCAATCTGTTTTTTCTAAACTCATTTTTTTTCTGCAATAGGAACATAATATATTAGGCAAATCAGGGTTTTCAACAGAGTAGTTTTCCCAAAAAAATCACTTATCAAGATTTTCATAATTTATTTCTTGTTTTGGTTTAATGCATGTGTAATGTTTAATGAACCTGGTTTTATGCATTTGGTTTAAATGCATATTAAATCATTAATTTTCTTTATACAGAATATGCAAAAGCATTTTAAAAACTCGTATTGATCTTTAGCAAAAAATGACATATCTTTTCTGTTTTCGAGAAATGGTTCCTATATTTTTCAATCGGCTCTTAAATTAAAGTTAACATAAATGTCTTATTTAAATAGATAAATAAACTCGCTGTTATTTCTTAAATGTTGTTAAAGTCTTCTAAAGCAAATAATAAGAAATAAGGTCTTAGGCCACCTTCAGGGTACCCTTTTTTTCAAATTGTTAAGTTCACAAAGTATGTTTAGTTTTGTTTACGAAACCTTTTTAAAATATATAAAATTATTAAAGTGTAACATAAAACTTTTTTCAAATATAATTTCAAAACTAGTCTTATCTTTTTTATATAAAAACTTTTTTATTTTAATAATAACGCGCTGCATTTGAAAAAAAAGAGAAATGTTTAGGGGTCGTCGATAAAGTACGTAGGCCAAGAACTCTGATATTTGACACCCCTCCCCCCTATTGCCGTACGTATTTTTAAGTCTCCACCCCCTTAAAAAGTACGAACGTTTTTCATGTACCCCTTCCCCTTAATAAAAAAAAAAAGTTGGAGAAGATACTCTAAATACTTTAAAACTATTTTGGGTACCTCCTACACCTTTTTTATTTCAATAAATTTTTATTTAACAACAAAAAATAGACGGGTGGTGAAAAACGTACAAAGTATTTTAACGACCCCAAAGCCCCTTGTTAGCGGCAAAGGATCCCTATTGAAAAAAAAAATATCATTAAATGTATAAAAATATAACTTTAAATAAAACTAAATCTTACAATATCAAAGAGATTGTGGCCGAGTAGATAATGTTATGAAAAGTGACAGCGGAGATCCAAGTTCGAATCCAAGTAAAGTCCTATTTTACTGGGATTCGAACTCGGTCTATTAGCCATTGCACAGCTGAAACCTGTTTTTTGTTGAGTTAACAATCTATTTTTGGCCCTGGGTATACTCAGGGCCAGTATATAAGGGGTGGCATAAGCGCTTGCAGGATTTTTTGATGTTCCATATAGGACATTTTCATAAATTGTGCAAACTCCAAACTTAAGTATGTTTATACCTTATGAGGATACTTTGTAAAAAATTGGGATGGCGGAGTCCTGTCAACAAACTACCCTGAAAAGCTTCCCCCCGCTCAAACATGAGGGCACTTATGTAGTAAAATTTTAACATTAACGATCTAAAACTAAATTCAAATTTATCGACAGAATTTAAATTTCATTAAAAAAAAGTGTAAATTACAAAAGTTATGTATATGCAAAATGTATTGCCCCTCATTTATTTGTTTTTTTGGGGGCCTGGGGTCGGAAAATTTACTTTATTAATGCCATCAAATTTGGGCAATTTTTTGTAGGGCCTCATCAAATGGTATAGGTATAATGTTAAGTTTGGAGTTTGCACAATGTGTGGAAGTGGTTTATCTGGAACATCAAAAACTCCGGCGGGCGCCAATGCATGTGTGTGCATAGAGAGAAACTATACCTTTTACTCCCTATACAATACATCTTTTTATGTAAGCAAACTAGAATCTTTAGTCAGAATTTTAACTTTTCTATTGACTAGCTGGTAGTTTGTGTATAATTAGAAAATTGAAGTACGTGCTTTAAAGTTAATTATCACCCCCCCCCCATACGCATTTAGTACGCATTTTAAAGACCTTTCCCGTCCCCTCTATGAGCGTACGTACTTTATAGACAACCCCTTAGTAAGATATTGAAACATTTTACTTAACAAATAATATCTATTTTTAGGTATTCAATCTTTTTCAGAAAATTTATTTTCACGCAAGAAACTACTTAGTGAAATTCAACATTTTTTTAAAAAAAATGCAAACAACTTAACTTTAGTATTATATGGAATGTCGGGTGTCGGAAAGACACATATTGCAAGAAAATTTTGTGAAATATCTTATAACATATATAAAAATATTGTTTGGATTGATGCAGCATTTGGAATGTTACAAACCTCAATGAGGAACCAATTTTAAATTATTAGGATTAGAGGTTCATGATTCGAAATGAGATTATTTTAATATAAAAGTGATTATTAAAAAAGTTCACAACTATTTTAAAAATGAAAAGACTTTGTATATTTTTAACAATGTCGACGATGAAAGTGTTAAACATTTGTCAATGTACATTTCAAGAAAACCGAATTCATTCACGTTGATTACTTCCCAATGGAGAACATGGTCAAATAATGTAAAAAAAGTGCAAGTTAATGTTTCTTTAATTTTATTTTTTACATAAGCGAACGCTTCTGAAGAAGCGTTGACTTATGAAAAAATAAAATTAAAGAAAACAGCGACGAAAACATTACAAACTTAATTACAGAAATTGGTTATCATCTGTTTGCAATTAGTCAGGCAATAAAAAATATAAATATACATAAAATTTCGATTAAAAAATACATAGATCGATATAGATCGAAACCATCAGAAATATTAGACAATAATAACTTTCGAACCGAAGTAGAATCAAAGTCTGCAATAAACGTAACTAACTTAGTTTTAATAAAATTAGAAAAAACTAAACCTTTTCCATTTAAAATAATAAACTATTTATATAATTGCGACGTTAAAGTCATCAGTAAACAATTTATAACACAAATCTAAAATTAAATGAAAACAAACAATGAATCTTTAATAGATGAAGCAATTAGATTACTAATGAGTTATTCTTTACTAAACTGTTTTAATGATAAAAAATATACACGAGTTGAGACAGTTAACATGTAAATGTTTTCAAAAGAGGAATTCAAATACAAATACATACCTTGATTTAATTGAAAGTTTTTTAAAAGTTGAATTGAATAAAGTAAATTATCACATGGATTTCGGAAATCATTTTATTTTTCATTTTAATTATATGTTTCGTACTAACGGAAAAAAATTTTTCGAAGCCTTCCATCGTATGACGACTTCTATACAAAAGTTATTCATACGTAAAAGTTTATTTGAAGAAGCAATTGAAATATTAAAAGCTGTTCAAAGTTTTAATACAGAAACTCATGGTAAAAATAACATATTCACGCTTGTTACAAAGCATAATATCGCTAACTGTTTGAATAATATGGGAAAATATAACAAAGCTGTAGAAGTTTATTATTCTGTTGATAAAATAAAAAATGAAATGCTAGGTATTAACCATCCTTCTACAATAACAACAGAACATAATATCGCACTCTGTTTGAACAATATGGGAAAATTTAACGAAGCTTTGGAAATTTATTATTCTGTTAATAAAATAGAAAATGAAATTTTTAGTATCAACCATCCGTCTACTATGGCAACAAAACATAATATCGCATTCTGTTTGAACAATATTGGGAAATATAACGAAGCTTTAGAAATTTATTATTCTGTTGCTAAATTACAAACTGAAAGTTTTGGTATCAACCATCCAAATACAATGACAACAAAAAATAATATTGCAAGCAGTTTGTTCTTTATGGGAAATTATAACGAAGCTTTCGAAATTTATAATTTTGTTGATAAAAATCAAACTGAAATTCTAGGTATAAACCATTCAGACACAATGACAACAGTAGCCAGTGGATCTTCAGCTTATCAAGCTAGCTGTCCTCTCAGCCAAATCGCTATCTTTATCTTTGACAATATCGATAGCTTTTCGGTAATTTAAAAAAGCTAGCGATTCTCGCGGCCAAATCGCTGTCTTTATCGTAACAATAGCTAGCTATTCGCTAGCCGATTTCTCACCGGGTAGTGTTGTGACCAAAACTAAAAATTGTAACTAACTAAATTAAAAAAACCGTACCTAAAATTAAAATTAAAATAACAGTAAACAGGGTTATAATGGCATTTTTAAAAATGGTGCGATTCCTTTGATTAGCAAACCGACAAGAATTACTTAATCAAGTGCTTCTTTAATTGATAATATTTTAACCACTGATGCTTTTAACGAATCATTAAAAAAGGGCATAATTAAAAATGTTATATCTTATCATTTTCCTATTTTTTTTTTTATAAATATAGATAATAAATTAGTTCCTAATGAAAAACGAGTTTTCAAAAAGCGAACTTTTACAAATGAAAACCTTAAATTTTTTAAGGAACAATTATCTCTAATTGATTGGAGCATTATTAACACCTCTGATAATACAAACTTAGTGTATAACTCCTTTTTTAAAACTTTCTATGATATCTACGACAATAATTTCCCTGAAGTTAATTTAAATCTTAAAGCTAAAAGTATTAAATCGCCTTGGATTACAAAGGGTTTGCGGAAGTCTTCAAAAATTAAACAAAAATTGTACATTAGTTACTTAAAATCTAAAACAAATGATAATAAAATTATGTAAAAAAATTACGATAAACGTTTTGAAAGCTTCAAAGAAAAAACAAAAAAAAAATTATTATTTAAGTTTACTAGATATATATAAATTAAATTTTAAACGCACTTGGTTTGTAATAAGAGAAATTACTGGCAGCAAAAAATGTACATCTCATTCTTTGCCAAACACGGTTAAACATAATAATGAATTTTTATATGATAAAAGACAAATTACGGAAGAATTTAATAAATATTTTGTGTCTGTAGAACCAAATCTGGCAAAAAGAATTCCTATCCCAGCAAACAAAAAGATATCTAAAATGCATCTAATATGCATCTAAAAACAGGTCTAAAAGATGTCTAAATTCAGGTCTAGAACGGGACATAAATAAACGTCTATCTTATAGACGTCTTTTAGATGCATTTTATTCGACACAAATAATTGCCTTAGATGCATAAAAGATGTGAAATATACATCTTACAGATGCATATTAGATGTATAAAATACGTCTCTTAAATAGATGTCTAAGGCACGTTTAAAAAAGATAGATAATAGATAATTTTTTAGCTAATAATAGCTCTTTTATGCATTTAATATACATCTAGTATACATCTTTAAATGTATATTTCACATCTTTTATGCATCTAAGGCATTTATTTGTGTCAAATAAAATGCATCTAAAAGACATCTATAAGATAGACATCTATTTATGTCCCGTTCACGACGTGAATTTAGACGTCTTTTAGACCAGTTTTTAGATGCATATTAGACGCATTTTAGATATCTTTTTGTTTGCTGGGACTTGTTTGATACAAAGGTGTTACAGCTGTTAAATTAGTCATAAAAAAGAATTAAATTAAATAAGTAAAGAAACATTTTAACTAACACTACTTAATTTTTATTTCACAAAAATATACATAAGAAACTATATTTCTGCATTGCCGTCAACATTTTCTTCCATGTCGCCGATATCTAAAATATACATTAATGACATTTAAATGACTTTAAAAGACATGTAGAATTCTGAATCAATTTTTATGAAATTTTATATATATATATATATATATATATATATATATATATATATATATATATATATATATATATATATATATATATTATATATATATATATACACATACAATATCGGACAAAACCAGTGCAACCAAATGATGCTAATTTAGTTTCTTTGTATAAAAGGGCTGCATTTTTTTCAATTTAGAGAAATAACTATGTAACTGTTTAGAGATTTAGAGACAACGTTCTTCAAATTTTATTCATCACAAAGTTCATTATTTGTACACGAAAATTAATAAATTAATCAAAAGAATTAAAAAAAGTTGATTTCCTTCTGCACAAAACAAGTGCAACTCCACAAAATGTTGACCAAGCTGTATTTTGCTATCAATATTTTGTGGTGAATCCTTTGTTGTCGATCACAGCCTTGCATCTTTAAGGCATAGATTCGATCAGGTGATCAATGAAACTTTGTGGAGTCGCTGCCTAGGCCTTTTGGATTTGTTCAAACAGTTGATCCTTATTACAGACACATTCATGATTAACTCTGCGGTTAACAATCTCCCAAAGGTTCTCGATAGGGTTGAGATCCGGAGATTGAGGCGGCCAATCCATCACCGATAGATGGTTGTCTTGAAACCACTGCTCGACTACTTTTGCAGTGTGCTTAGGATCGTTGTCTTGCTGAAAAACCTATTTTATTGGTATATTAAAAAACTTCTGTGACGTTTACAAGGACCAGACTTGAGAAAATGAAACAAACCAAAAAAGTTGCACTTGTTTTGTATGCTGCAAAATATATATAAATATGTATCTCAACCAGATACAATAATAAACAACAATTTTTTTATGAAAAAACTAAAGGAACTTGTATTATGGATACAAAAATTCTAGCATGACACAAAAAAAGTCGAAGAATATCTTTTTAATACAGATATCAGTTTTGTAAATACTATTAAAACTAACCTCGTAAAACACTTCATATATTTACTATATTTTCTAAGCTTATCTTTTCCCCATTTCCTTTTCGATTAAATTTGGACTGTAACTGATTCGAAAATAACCTGATAAATATTTTAACAATAAACTGAAATATATTTATAAAGATTTTTATTTTAATATATGTAATAAATTAAAATATATTTTAATATATGAATGCTTAAAATTATGAAAAGTAAAAACATTAAATTTGAAAATAAAATGCTAAACAAGGTTTAGCATTACACTTACTTTAGCACACAAACAAACTTAAACACCTACAGTGAAGCTACCGAGTTTATCAAATTGTCATGTTAAAAGTAAATCCATAACAAATAACCGTCAAAATGAATTGCTTTTGGTCCCTTTTAATCATATTTCTAATAATTAATAAAAACATAATCATTTACCTTTTCATGATCAAAAAAACATGTTCTCTAGGCTTTCCACCACCAATCTTTTTCAAACTATCAAGCTGAAATAAATGTAATAAAAACTAGTGTAACTTAAATTTCTTTACAATATATTGAGTCTAACATAAGCTAGTTATTTTAGTTCATTTACAAATACTTTTCATTTAGATTCTAAACTAGTAAACCAAATTTAAACAAACTTATTAAAAATTAAGATAATTAGATTATACCAAATTAGTGTACTCGGTTTTATCTTTTAGTTTATTATCCATTGTAACCACTTCGTCCACTGATTCTAGCAACTTCACCCCAGTAGCCTGAAACTTAATTTCTATAACTTCTTTTAAAAGAACTTTTATTTCTGCAAGCTTGTTGAGAATAACATTTTGCATCTCTATAAACAAGAATAAAAAGATTGATTAACATATTTAGCTCATAAAACCAAATAGCAAAAACAATGAAATAAGAACTTCAAAATTCAAATTATGCTTGAGCAACTTAAACTAAAATTCTAAAAATACATGTAAGTTTTTTTTATTACTCCATCGCAGAAGTTGCCATAATATTTTGGAAAACCTACTTTTTAAATCAGCTAAAACTTTATCCTGTAAAAGGTTACGATATTAAAGAATTTTGTTTAACTACTAAAGGTAAAATGCTACACCCATGATTTATCGGATCACAATATTATAAATAATCCATTTCTATTCTTTTATACCTATCTTTTTTTGTATTAAAATAATACAACTATTTTAATACAAAAACAAATTAATAAAAAAGATCACATTGTCTTTGACAATGTGAACTTTGTTTTGTTTTATTCTGTTCATCAATAAAACGTGAAGAAAAATTATTTTCTTCAATCTTTGAATCTGATAACAACTCTATTCAAAAGAAATAACGATAATTAAAACTATAAATAATCCCTCAACCATACCTGTTACTTAATTTAATCTTTTAACCAATTTTGTACTCTTTCAATTTCTGAATTTAAACAATTTCAGCATGCTTTCAATCAATTTTCAATTTTCATATCAAGTTGATTAAAGGATTATTTAATACAACAGAATGTTGTCAATCATTTAAATATATGTAACCAATTTAACAACATTACAAATAACAGGACACTTAAATAGTTAAAATAAAAGGAAAATCTTAGTAATACA